TTGTGTTACCTCTCTAAAGTGTAGTAAAAAACTTTTCCCCCTAGGGCTCACTAGGGTGTGTTCACATGCACACATTCAATCATACATACACATATGCCTACAAAGTACAAAAGATAAAAAGGCTGGGAAGTAGCTTAGTGGCAGAGCACTTACCTGGCATGTACAAGACCCTAGATCCAATCCCTAGTACTGGGGGCGAGGAGGGAATGGCATATTTTTCAACGTTTTTATACAGTAGAAGCATAGATAAGCTATAAAACTTGAAATTGATATAAATTAGCCTTTCGAACTATGACATTGTCCTAAGCTCGCAAGTATGATGTGGAAAGCTCTCTGGATTTAGTGGCTGTGAGCAGCTGTAACCAGTGTGAGGAAGTCTCCCTTGGTTCTGCTTCCTGTTCTCTCTGTTCCCCACAGCAACTCAAGTCTAACGTATTAATGGAAATTACAGAAACAAACAATTTTAAGTTTTAATTTGTAGAGTAGAGTGGTAAATTTCTACACCATGCTACTCCAGCAGGATTAAATCATCTTTAACCAGCGTATTTACACTATATATTCTACTCTCCGTGAAAGAGACCACATTTGCATAACTTTTATAACAGTATATTGCTAAAATTACTGTTTTATTATTGTTCTTTATAAGGTTAAAACTTGAGGGCTCCGGATGTAGTTCAGTTGATAGAGCGCTAATCTAGCATATATAAAGCACTGAATCTGGCCGGGCAGTAGTGGCGCATCCCTTTAATCCTAGCACTCGGGAGGCAGAGCCAGGTGGATCTCTGTGAGTTCGAGGCCAGCCTGATCTACAGAGCGAGATCCAGGACAGGCACCAAAACTACACAAAGAAACCCTGTCTCGAAAAACAAACAAACAAAAAAAAGCATTGAATTTGATCTCTAGGACCATACAGTACTGGGCATAATGGCACATGCCTAAAATCCAGCACCCAGGAGGTAGAGATCAGAAAGAAGTTCAGGTCATCCTTGACCTCGTATGACTCAAGGCCAACCTGCACTACATGAGACCCCATCTCAATAAGAGCTGTAGAGATGACTCAGTAGTCAAGAGTGCTGGCTGGTCTTCCAGATAACCTGAGTTTGGTTCTAGTACCTACACCAGGCAGTTCACAACTGCCTTTGACTCCAGTTCCAGGGGACCTCTGGCCTCCACAGGTACCTGCATTCATGTGCACACACCCCAACACAGACACGCACACCTACACATAACTAGAAATTAATAAATCTTGCCCTCCATAGTGCACACACTTTTGATTCCAGTACTTGGGAGAGGCCAGCCTGATCTACATAGTGAGTTCCAGGCAGCCAAGACTACAATGAAACCCTGTCTCAAAATAAAAATCCCAGCACAAGAGACAGAGGCGAGCAGGGCTCTGTGAATTTGAGGCCAGCCTGGTCTATAGTGAGTTCCAGAACAGCCAGGGCTATATAGGGAGACTGTCTCAAAAAACAAACAAACAAAAATCTTAATAAATAAACAAACACTTTATCATAGGTATACATCTACAGGAAAAAATACAGCATATATAGGGTTCAGAACTGAGGTTTCAAACACCCACTATATTAGGGGACATTACTTACATACACATACGTCTTGAAGGATATTAACCTGTTAACTGTCGCTACCACCAATGAGGCCTTTTGTTTTTAAAACAATTCAGTATTATTTGGTTTTATTTTTATAAGTATGGATGGGGAGGGGTGTCTGTCATGTAGCCCAGTGGCCTTGAACTCTTGATTTTCCCTATCCCCATTTCCTAAATGCTGGGGTTAGAGGCCTGTGCTAAATATTTTTTTAAATTGAAAAAAGAAAACGACCACTATCTGCTGTACCAAAACCTAGGTGGTGAGGCCACCCAGCAAGCCTGTGGTAGTGAGAACAGATAAGATACAAACCCACTCCGAACACATGCTGAACCACATGCTACCTTCATTCTCTCCAAAATGACAGTTTTGTTCAAAGCCCACGAGGGAGAGGCAGGTTTTCCAAAGCACTGGCCAGCAGCTATGCCCTGTGCGCCTCTTTGACAGCTACTCTGGAAGAGGCAGGTTTCCATATTCTATTAAAGAGATGCTGTGGTGCTCTTCTCTGGCATTTGAAGCGTTTTATGAGAATATAGCAGGAAAAATCATATCCAACACTAAGTACATGGGCGTTTTCCTCACAGCCTAGCAAACAATCCAGGCAGCAAAACCCAGCTAACTCAATTCATTCTGACACCATTAAATCCCACAGGCTGAGTCAGTCCTCTTGAGATGCCAATCCCAAGCCCAGGGTCGTTTATCTGTGCTAGGCATTCTAATCCACAAACCACAGTAACTTGCTCTGGAGAGGTTCCCAGAGCCCAGAGAAACACTAGCATTTATTGTTTTCTTTAAATATTACAAAGGAAGGGCCCAGTGTGATAGCATACACTGTCATCTCAGCAGGAGGGAGGCAGGATCACGAAGAGTTCAAGGCCAGCCTGGTCTACATAGTGAGCTCCAGACCAATCTGGGCTACAGAGAAAAACAAACAAAAATAGTAATAATTACACAGGATCCCAAAGAACAGATACATATGGTGAGGTGAGGGAGAAGGTTGTAAACACTCATTACAGAAATGGCTTTTGAGTTTCCTGCTTGTTTTGTTGTTTCCCAAGACAGTCTCCCAGTACAGTCCAAGCTGACCTGGAAATCATCCATACCAAGATGGCCTCAAACATGCCTCAGCTTCTGAGTCACATGCCATCAAACCTAGCTCAGAAGCTGTTTTAAATAGCAAAAGATGGAAGACAACTTTTCATTAGGGATTACTGAAAAGATACAGATAGACACACCAGACATAGCCAGACAAAGATGGACAGACAGACAGACACACACTCACTCACACACTCACACTGCTATGGACACTGGTCACATGGAGTTCATATATTGAAACATTAACTCCCAATGAGATGGTACTGGAAGATGGAGCCCTTGGGAGGTGCTTAGTATTGGATGAGGTCGAGGGGGCTTCTGACGCCACTAGAAAGCCTGCTGTCTCTTTCTCCACACATGCACCCACAGGCATCCACCACAATGTCACCTAAGCACACTGTTGGCAAGAATCCTCACCAGACAGTAATATGATGACACCCTGATCTCAAGATCTGCAGTCCGTAGAACTGAGAAAACCAATCCTGTTGTTTAACCCATCTAGTCCATGGTATTTTGTTATGGCAGCCTGGTTGACTAAAGTACTAGTACTGCATACAATGAATGGCATTCTCTATGTGTAACATTACAAAGGCATGAAGGCAGCTCTATGAAAACATAATTCATGAGGCAAGAAGTAATTACAAGTTGCAGGCTGGAGACACGGTTCAGTGGTCAAGAGAACTTACTTCTCTTCCAGAGGACCCAAGTTCAGTTCCCAGCACCCACATCAGGCAGCTCACAACTATCTGTAACTCCAGTTTGCCTCCAAGGTCACCCATACAGACATGTATGCATAAATAAAAAATTTTTAAATCCTAAACACACACACACACACACACACACACACACACACACACACACACACACCACGGGCCAGAGAAATGGCTCAGTGGTTAAGAGCACATACTGCTCTTCCTGAGGACCTAAATTCAATTCCCAGCATCCACATCAGGTGACTTACAAATTAACTGCCTGTAACCCCAGGTCCAGGGGGGTCTCACACCTCTAATCTCTGTGAGCACTCACATTCATGTGCACATACCCCACACACAAACACATAATAAAAAATCTATACACACACACATACACACATTGCTAAACAATGCATAGCACACTACTATTTGTAAATAGGGAAAAATTTGGATTTGCTTGTTGCATAAATGGAATATCCCTGGAAAACTATAGTAATTCCAGGCAAAGACAGGAGTATGTCTCATTGTATGTACTATATGTTGAAATTACAGAGCACATCAATATATTACCTATTCCAAAAATATTCTTAAGAGGGAAAAAATAGTGATCATTTGTTAGCCCTCAAAAAATGACTTCAGCCAGGCAGTGGTGGCTTTTAATCCCAGCAAAGGGAGATGGATCTCTGAATTCAAGGTCAGCCTGGTCTACAGAGGAAGGTCCAGGATAGACAGGGCTACACAGAGAAACCCTGTCAGGGGGTGGGGGGATGACTTCACTTGTATAATGATCTTAACAATCCTCAATTTTTTTTCAGCTGAGCATGGTGGCACACACTAATTCTAGCACTCCAAGGCAGACAGGTGGCTCTCTGTGAGTTCAAGGCCAGCCTGCTCTACATAGTGAGTTCCAGAATAGTCAGAGCTACATAATAGACCCTGGCTCCAAACAAACAAAAACTTCCATCTTCATCAAAGCCTGTCTTTAGCCTGCTAATCTAAACTATTCAAATCTCAAATCTCTGCCTGTTCGGTTCAATCTGCCTTAAGAGTCCCAAATCAATAGTAGTCTTTCTGAACACCAAAAAAATCACATTTCTCTTGAAACTACTTATGGAGACATACCATGTTCTGCCTAGTTAAATGGACTGGTACTATCCTATGGCTGTACCAAAAAAGGTGACATTACCCGAAACCCTAAGCACAATGGCCAGCATAAAAAGCTAAACCAACAATTATCTCACACTTGTTGGTAATGACCTGATTGGGGGAGCCCGGATTACTCCACCCTCCTTCACTGGTAAAAAGACCGACGCCACCGCCAACGCACATGAAATGCCTACGGCGGTCCCCAGCACCCCAGGGATGCCCACTTACCGCTGGGCCAGATCCCCTTCCTCCATTTCCGATGTTTCCCCCAAAGCTGCTGGTCGTGGCAGGCTGGGGAGAACACACCCTGCGGGTGACCCCGTAGTTGAGCCTCTCCCAGGATGCCCCAGCACGACTGAGGCCGCGCGCAGCCCGTCGCCCCGAAGCCGACCTCCCTCCATCCCGGCCCCCTCCCCGCGGGCGTCCCCAAAGCCCGCGCGTCGCCTCAGCCACGGCGTCCCACCTGCACCTTCCGCCTCTTCAGCGCCGCCGCGTCCAGCCACACGCCACACGCCTCCTTCTCCGCCTTCTCGGGCCTTCTACGTCTCATGACGGCGGCGAACCGCGCGCCTCTGCAGCCGCCGTGGGCGCCGACGCGCGTTCGGATCTCGCGCCGCTGCGGGAGGCGGGGCCCCGCCGCGACCGTCATGACGTAGGCCCCGCCTCTGGCCACGCCCACTGCGCTTAGAGCGGTCGGGGCGTTTCTCCGGCGCTGGTCTCCTCTTCCCGCCTTCCTATCCATCGCTGTGTGCGAACCCTGGAGCAGAGGTCCAGAAAGCCCTCTGCGTGCGTGGATTACCACCGAGTTTGGTTTGGCAGGACTGCACATTTTTCATATGTATATAATTTTTAAATTATATAGGGGTGTGTGTGTGTGTGCGCGTCTACTTGTGGGTTAGTGCAGGTGTATGCGGAGGACAGACAGAACAGTCAGGTCCCCTGGATGGAGATGGAGTTCATAGGTTCTTTTGAGATGCCGTGTGAGTGCTGGGATCAAACCAGGGTCCACTGCAAGAGCAGCCCGTGTTCTTAACCGCTAAGCCATCTCACCAGTCCCAGACTGCACTGTTTGACTGCCCGGAGCCTCCCCTCCCACAAAGGAAGCAGTGGAGCCAGGGTCTGGACCCCACTCCAAACCCCCTTGTCCCATTGCTGACCTAGTGGTTACCTGACACTCGAGGTTGCCACTAATCGGCCTGTAAGAGTAACAGAGCCACTACATGGAAGATTTTTGAAAACATGAAATAAAAACTGTAACCAGAGTGCTTTATCTAGCATGATGGAAGGGTGTTAATCCCAATACTTGAGAGGCAGAGGCAGACAGGTTTCTGTGAGTTTAAAGCAAAACTAGTTTGTTACTATTATGTGTAATTATGTTTATGAGAGGGCATGCATGTAAGCGATGGTTCCTTCAGAGGCATTGTGCCCCTGGAGCTGTAGTGGGAGATTGTGAGCCATCCAATGTGGGTGCTGGAAATCGAACTCAGGTCTTCTAGAAGGACCACTGAACAATCTCTCCAGCCCCAGGTGTCTATGTCTTATAAATTGTCATACACATCATTTTATATAAATTTTCATATGTATAAATTTAATGACTTATATGAAGCTCCCCAGAATATGTTATCAGTGGAGGACTATGTCCTGTTCACTTACTCACTTTGCACCTACTGGGGATTGAATGTAGAGCCTTCTGCAAAGTCTCTACAATTGAGCTATATTACCAGTCCTCTCTGACTTTGAGACAGGGTCTCTCTGTTTTACAGACTGGCACTCTTCCACTGAACTTTGTCCTCAACGCTTAGATTTTAAACAATATTTTTTTGTTTTTGTTTTTGTTGTGTTTTGTATTGTTTTTTGAGATAGAGTTTCTCTGTATAGCTTTTGAGCCTTTCCTGGAATTTGCTCTGTAGCCCAGGCTAGCCTCGAACTCACAGAGAGCCTCCTGCCTCTGCCTCCTGAGTGCTGGGATTACAGGTGTGTGCCACCACAGCCTGGTGTAAATTTTAGAAGTAATTAAAAAATTGTTTAAAGTCAGGCGGTGGTGGCTCATGTCTTTAATCCCAGCACTCAGGAGGCAGAGCCAGGCGGATCTCTGTGAGTTCGAGGCCAGCCTGGTCTACAGAGCAAGTTCTAGGACAGGCACCAAAGCTACACAGAGAAACCCTGTCTCAAAAAACAAAAAAATAGCCGGGCGGTGGTGGCGCACGCCTTTAATCCCAGCACTTGGGAGGCAGAGGCAGGCCTGGTCTAGAGAGCAAGATCCAGGAAAGGCACAAAGCTGCACAGAGAAACCCTGTCTCGAAAAACCTAAAATAAATAAATAAATAAATAAATAAAAAAAATTATTTAATTTTAAAAGTGCTCTTTAATCTCTCAAAATGCCAAATATGTATAAACTTACACACACACACACACACACACACACACACACACACACACACACACACACGTGTTCCCAACCTCAATTCTACCCTCAGGTAAAAATAAAACAAGAACCCCTCCACTCCACAGCATCCCCTCAGCACCCTGCAGCTCCCTTCCAAAAACCTCCTTGTGAATGGGGCCCCTCCCTGAACAGAAGTCAAAAAGTCGAGGAAGCTGTTGTCATAGTCACTTTATTGAATCTAGGGCACATGAGGGACCAGACACCAGCCTTCCCTCCAGCCCCACTGAACCCCCACTTTGCATTTCCGGGTCTCGGCACTGGTGTCCCCTTTTGCCTGGAATGCCCTTCTAAGCTGGGTCAGCAAACTCCTACTCACTCTCCCTAGCTCAGAGATCTGAATGCCCCAGGCAGTGCTCCGTGATTAGCCTGGCCTCTGGGCTTCCTTTGACAGTTTATTAGGAGCTAAAGCCTAGAGTCCCAGGAAACAGCTAAGGAGACAGAACTCAGAATCACAAGTGAGCATTGTGGGAGAGGAGTTGGAAAGAGTGCAGGACACACAGGCCAGCGCTACATGTGAGGCTTAAGGCTGGGGCTGTGGTGATGGGGGATGGGCAGTGGGTGGGGATTTGTGTCTTTGGAGGCTCTCTAGAACCCAGTGATTCAGGCTGGGGTGCAGGGGACAGTAAGATTAAAGTGCTACCCATCTTTTGACCTGTTTCCTTCCCCTCCACCGGTGAAATGTGGTAGAAGATGGCCGCTGAGGCTTCCTCTCCCTCTCAGCTCAAATGTGACTCTGGCCAAGGACCTCATCTCCCACCTAACAACCTGGAACCCCCAGACCAGGGTACTGACCAGAGCTGGACCCCAACCATTAGCCCTGATAGGAAGCAAGGAAGGAACATTGAGAAAGATCTACTCCCTTGTCTCTTCCCCTCCCAGGGCAGGGAACTGGTCAGGGACGCTGTAACTCCCGGTCAATCCCCAGGTCCAAGGATTGGCTAGCACCACCATGACCATTGCACTTGTAGGCAGGGAGTCATGGCCTGCCAGATAGAAACAACTTTACCAGGCCTTGTTCCCATCTGGAGCCAAGTCCAGGCCTTTGTCCCTTCTAGCGCCTTCTCTCGCCCTGCCAGCTCCCACCCTGCCAGCTTTCACTTAGTCTTCTGATGGAGTTTGCGCCGCACCAGCTGGCTGAGAAGCAGGGCCGTGAGGATGCTGCTGCCCACGGTGAGCAGGAAGAGGCCAGAGAAGTTGTGGGGGCAGCGGGCATGCAGAGGCTCATAGATGGGCCTGCGGGCCTGATAGTCCAGCGTCACAGCCTCTAGCTGGGCCAGTGTGCACAGCACCAAAAAGACATGGAAAACTTGGTGTCCCTGCCCAAAGATGTGGCAGCTGCCAGGGAACCAGCTCTCGGGCATGACGGTGGAGAAAAACGCAGCGGCCAGAAGAAAGAAAACCACCTGGCACTTGTGATAGAGAAGAGCGGGGTCATCCTCGGCAGGGAGAGGGGACACTATGATGCGGTGCACCACGGGGCTGATGTCCAGCGCGTAGGCCAGCGCCGAGGGCACCTCCTGGCAAGTTCGGCCCAGCAGGCCTGGTTTCTGACTGTACTTGTTGTAGCAGGAGCCGGCACAAGACAGCCAGGCCAAAAAGGCAGCCACGGGCAGGAAGATGGCCTGTACCTGGGCATGCCAGGAGGGCTCAATGGCGTAGTAGAAGTGTGCCAGGGCACTGCCAAACTGGTACACGGCTACGCCCACGTAGTCCAGGAAGAAGAAGCTGTAGTGCCAAAATTCCGACTTGGCTTGCAGGAGGTGCGCCAGGGCACTGAAGGAGAGGTAGGTGAAGGAGGCCAGGACAATGATCAAGAGCGGCAGGGCGTGCGGGTCCTCCCGGAAGTCCACACTCGCCACCAGGATGACCAGGCGCAGCAGCAGCGCCAGGGCGGCCAGCAGGTGGGTCCACACGTTCACAGCCTCATTGTGCTGCTGGAAGAGCGTGCGGAAGTAGAAACACCAGGTCTGATGCAGCGGCCGGTAGCCGGCGTAGATGTATGGCTTCCAGAAGAGGGGCGGCACCTCAGCCCGGTCCACCGTGAACACGGGCTCTGGCTGCAGAGGCTTCTGGCCCACGTGCCACAGGCTGGACAGCAGGTGGCTGAACTTCTGGGCTACTGCCATCGCCATGCCCGGGTCCTGGGCAGGAAACTGGGAGAGAGGTCAGGGCAAAGTCAAGGTCCTGGTGTGTCTACCTGGGGCTCTGACGCCCCAGACTTCCTCCCATCTCCCGTACCCTGTCCTCAGGCTGAGTGTGAGAACCAAAGAGTGACCCTAAAAAAGCCAAGCTCTCGGCCGGGCGGTGGTGGCGCACGCCTTTAATCCCAGCACTCGGGAGGCAGAGCCAGGCGGATCTCTGTGAGTTCAAGGCCAGCCTGGGCTACCAAGTGAGTTCCAGGAAAAGGCGCAAAGCTACACAGAGAAACCCTGTCTCGAAAAACCAAAAAAAAAAAAAAAAAAAAAAAGCCAAGCTCTCTCCCCTGGCATTCTCAGAACAGGGCCTGCCGTAGTAGATGCTCACTAGCAGAGTCACTGTACCTAAGGTAAATCATGGGAGTGAAGAGTTTTCTAGAAGTACTTTGACCTTGAAGAATCATTATGGAAAACCATGATTGTTTTCCATGATTTGTAGAATGGTTTATTCTGAAGGGGGTGTTACAGCCTTCGCATGACTTTGGTCACAAGACGCCGCTGGCACACCCGAAGCTCTTGGATTATTGTGTGTGGCAAACGGTACACGGTAAAGGACTAACTAAAGTAGCAGGGGCATGCGATGCTTATCTTTAGAGAAACATAGGAATTAGAATAGGGACCTTGGTATGAGGAAATACTTTACCTGAAAAATAACTTTGTGTTACCATCAATAAATACGTCTTTGTGCTGTTTGGGGTTCTGTTCACGGGAGGCTAGACCTTCCTGTTGACCTCTTTCTGCCAGCGACTCACGCAACACTGAACACCCCGACGCTCAGTGCATGTGGAAGGGCCTCATTCATTCCTGGGGATCCCTGCCTCAGTCACTTCCTTTCAGTACAGTTACCACAGCAGCCCCAGCTGTTTTCTCTGCTTAAGTATAGAGGAGATGGGGACAGGTTCTCTCAGCCTGTGAGCTTGTACCACATTCACTGTGAGTGACAATGG